GTACTACTGAACTTTCAAGAATGTAAAGTACAGTATGTTCATTAGAATTAATTTTATTATATAACCATCTTTAATCCTTTCAGGGTCCAGAGGCCAAATTTCTAAGTTTGTACCAGGGTCCAAGAATTTTAAAAAAAATTTTATTGTTTTTTCTTATGAAATGGTAGAGAATCTTTTTCTGAAGGTAATAAAACAAAAAGTAAGAAATTTGATGGAAAATTGATGAAATTATGCTCTCGCGAATTTTGATGTGTCAGGGATATTTATGAATTGGCGATTTTGCCAACTTTGACTCCCATTTTAGGCCAATTACACTATTCCAGTCAACCAAATTCTTAGCTATTTCACTAGTATTACTTCTATTCTATCGATTGAGCACAAGAAATCGCCCAGTCAACTGTTTCAACTGCAAAATAGTGATCGGAAATTGGTAATTTGGTCAATTTAACACAAAGTTCAAAATATTCCAATTTCAAAATAGGGTCCAGAATAAACAATGCAGGCATTCCTGGCACTAAACTAACATTTCCTCTATTCATTAATTATGTTTTCAAGCTTTACAAATGAATTCCATTTTGATTTTTTGTTCACATAATGAATTTTTATTCAAACCAAAAAATAGAAGATTTGCTGCTATGCAATATTGTAATAATTGTATAAATATCATCAACACATTTGTGAATGCATATTAGACCCACCAGCTGGCGTGTATTAGACGTGTGAGGTAGTTTGTTTACTCTTGAACATCGACAAAAATTTAACATTTCTGCTAGGTTGAGCTTAGTTTCAAGCCATTTCCAGTACTAAAACCAATCAAAATCATCTCTACTCCTGTAATATATCTTCCATTCTATCAAATGAGACAAAGAAATCGCAAATACAACTATAAAAAACATACGAAAAACACTGCAAAGTCGCTGTTTTAATCGAAAATAACGGTCTCGTTTTTTTTCTCTCATTATACACTGTGTGCTGCAGGATTTGTTTTATGTGGTGCACACATACCACATAGATGTATTCTCTCATATCTAGGCCCAAATTTACGACTCACAGCTTATCAGAGTGAGCTGAACACATGGCGTAGATCTACGGTTTGGACCCTGAACGTAAAGCTGTAGATCTATGGCACGGACCCTGAAAGGGTTAATGCCTTTCTATATACAGCAAATACTGTACATGTATGTAAAATGTTTATTATAAAACACTCTGCATAAACCTGCCTGAAGATTCTAGAGGTTTTCCACCAGCTAACCTCTTCAAAACAGTGTTGACAAGTATCTCCTTATCTTAATGTGATCCTGACAACAATTATCTCATCATATTTAGTATCATTGCAATTAACTAGCTTCATTCCTATTGTAATTTTTATTATAATTTTTTTTTAATAAATTCTGCTGTGAATATCATTAATGTCTTATACACATACATGTATAATAATTATTATAACTAGTGTTTCATGTATTTCATTTGCTGTTTTATCTTTTCCAGACTTTTACCTATGATATTATGACTTAAATTTACAGACCAATCTCTTTTGTGATCCTTTCACAAATGGTTTTGAAAAGTCTGTGTAGCACATCAACTGGAATTTTTTTGGTAATTATTTTAAGAAATAGTTTGAAACCACAGTGCTAGTCACGGCATTATGTCGCCCCTCCTCTACACACGTGCCAAAACACAAACACATACCATGAAAGATTATAATATATTTATTTATTTAATTATTTATTTTATGTCTTTGCAAACAGTACACTGAAATTTTATATTTACAATAGTGGGTCACAATGCAAAGAGAGCCTCTATTATGCCTAGGCATTATGGGCCAACTTAACATTATTGGCTTACAGACTACTTAACACTAAGGATTATATCATAGTTGTACAGTAGGACAGTAATTATTTCATAGTTGAACAGTAGATTATTAATTATAAGCGAATTAAATTTGTATAAGACAAAGGACATATTCATATAGTCTAAAATGCTTTTTGTGAAAACAATGGTTCAATTACATTCCTGTCAACAATGGATAAAAGGTTCAAAGTGATTGTTGAAGTTATGATGTAGGAGTACATAGGTGAGTATGTGTGTACTGAGTATTTAGCGTTTAGTCTAGGGTGATTAAGTGGCTTTTGAGACGAGTCTTAAACTGATTTTCAGACTGGGTTACTTTAATATCTTCTGGTAATGAATTCCATATTTTAGGGCCCTTTATGTGCATAGAGTTTTTACACAGTGTGATATTTGCACACTTACTGAGGTTTTAATATTTGGTGCTGCATCCTTTACGCTTAATCACGTCCTTCAGCCCTATAGGAAGACTCGCACAAATTCTTGAGAGACTGGGGAGGTATATTATTTTATATTATTCCATGCCTCATGTAGAACAGCTTCCAGCCACGGGATGGAACTGATATCCTTGCCCAGTAAACTTCATTTCACTATTGATCAGAGGTTCTCAATAGGGTTTAGGTCTGGGGAATTGCTTGGCCAGTCATTAAAGAACCTCACTTCACAGTCCTTAAGCAAATGAACTACAGATTTGGCAGTATGAAACAGTGCACCATCCTGCATAAAGACCGGAGCCCCACACTTGTCAAACACCTTAGGTAAATTGTCACACAATAACTCCAGATAACGATACTTGTTCATATACTGGTTTTTGAGAAACACAATGAATTCAACAACTCTGAGCACTGTAATAAAGTTGGTAGAATTACCGACAATATGTAAAGTAAAAGGACACAAGTGCAACTAATGTGACATTTATTGTGGCAACGTTTCGCTCTCCAGGAGCTTTATCAAGCCATTACAAACAATACACGGACACAGAGGGTATATAAAGGCTCAGAGTGAGGTGAATACTAGTGAGGTACTATTTCAATGTTGTTGTTGTGGTTGTGGTTGTGGTTGTTGTGGTTGTTGTTGTTGTGGTTGTTGTGGTTGTTGTGGTGGTGGCGGTGGCGGTGGCGGTGGCTTTTATATCCTTTTACTCATGTACGAATTAATTGCTCTACCATATTGTATTACTTTTGTCACTACTACTACTACTACTATACTACTACTACTATACTACTACTACTATACTACTACTACTATACTACTACTACTATACTACTACTACTACTATACTACTACTACTATACTACTACTACTATACTACTACTACTACTAGTGAACATCGAAACAGTACCTCACTAGTATTGCACCTCACTCTGAGCCTTTATATACCCTCTGTGTCCGTGTATTGTTTGTAATGACTTGATAAAGCTCCTGGAGAGCGAAACGTTGCCACAATAAATGTCACATTAGTTGCACTTGTGTCCTTTTACTCTGAGCACTGAAACACCCTCTAAACCATGAGTGAGTCTGGGTGTTTAGTGGTCTCACAGGTGTAGAATGGGTCTAGCGGATCACTACCCTGGGCCAGTACACATCCCCCACAGTTACAGGTGATGGTGAAGGTTGCTTCATCACTTGAAAGTACTTCACACCACTGTTCAGGATTCCAGTGAAGATATTTCTTTGCATAATCCAGCCTACGTTTCTTCTGTGGCTTGGAGAGGATTGGTTTCTTAACCTGGCGGTGACTACTGTAGCCCAGTTCTGACACACACCTGTTAACAGTTCTTACAGACACCTCTGAGAGAAGATGTGGGTTCTTTTCTTCCAATTCTCTAGGAGTTATCTTAGGTGTACTCTCTAACTGCTTCTTTAACACAGTTAAGGTATGAACAGATGTCTTTTTCAAGGGGCCAGGTCGAGGTTTGGCAGACGGTAACTCGATACCGCCACGAGCCTTGAAACGCTGCACCCAGTTCCTCACTGAATACTCTCACACACCAACATTCTCCACTATTTCTTTTGTCTGGTGCCCAGCTTTGTGAAGTCCTATGATTTGAGTTATAGTTTCAGGTGTTAAAGACTTCCTCTTACCCATAATCAAACATGTATAGCTCCAAAACGAAAGGGAACACCAGACAAAAGATGGGGCAGATGAGAGACAAAAGTGCAACAGTTACTCTCACCACGGCAGCCACGTAAGCACTGAGGAGTCACTGTGGAGTGTGGCGGCAGGCTGTGACTTCATGCTAATGGCTGCTACCCGGCATAATGCACTGACGACAAAAGATCCCCCCTGTATGGTAGGCCTTTGATTTTCATCACGGCATTATGCCGGGGTGCTCACCCAGCATAATGCCATGACTAGCACTGTATAGTATCTCAAGAAATAATTTGTAACTATTTTAAGAAATAGACAGCAACTATTTTGAGAAATAGATGATAACTATTTTAAGAAATAGATGACAACTATTTTGAGAAATAGATGATAACATTTCAAGAAATAGATAACTATTTTAAGAAATAGAGGTAACTATTTCAAGAAATGAGAGCAAGTGTTTTTTTCAGAACATCTTGGTATACTTTCAGCTCCTTCAATTTATCCTCATTTCCTTGCATTATGCTAATATGCTGTACCAACTGGTCATTGCATTTTTCTGCTACAGAACTGGGTTAGTTTCTTGCCGGTCTCTGCTTCCTTGGTGACTTCATCAGAGACTTCAGAGATGTATTTACACTATATGTGCCATGATAAAAGACAAGCCTCACACTTCAGCAAACCCAATTTATATTAGTTCCTAACTGGCCATGTTAGGCTCCAGTTGCATACTGAGCATAAAAGCTGCCAGAGATTGCAATATAATTGTATAGCAGAGCAGTTTGCAGCCAAACTCAATAGTACAATGAAATAATTTAACACTGATGAACTATAAAAGAAAAAATCCTACGAGAACACCATTACATACACATAACAAAAGAAAAAAATTGCATTTTTGTAACCTATTATATTATAAATAAAAGGAGAAAAAAAATCTTTATTCTTCATAAATACAATCTTAGTAAAATCTGTATTTATTTTTTCTTGGTAGAATCGTTAAGGTACTCTTTTAGTTTTACAAACATAAGAAAGAACAAAAAAAAAAAATCACAGCTGAACTCACCATGGCGTGTTTCTTGTTGTCCAGTTTAAGCTTCTCAATTATGTTGTTCACCTCAGCCTCCACTTTATTACTAGACAGTCCTTTCAACTGTGGAGAAGAAACTTGTACTACATATTATGCTGACTGCATTATGTTTACCTAAACTGATTGCCAGTATTATACCAATCATCCTTTCATCTTGCAGAAGCCTAGAAATCTTGCAGCAGTATGGGAATCTTGCAGCAGTCTGGGGATCTTGCAGCAGTCAGGAATTGTGCAGCAGCCTGGGGATCTTGCAGCAGTCAGGGATCGTGCAGCAGTCTGGGGATCTTGCAGCAGTCTAGGGATTTTGCAGCAGTCTGGGAGTCTTGTGGCAGTTACATTTGAGATGTTGCAACCTAAGCTGAGAGTGAGGCCTAACAAAGGTCAAAAGACAGGTCTAGTATATGAGTATATTCTCAGCATCCAATTAAAGTGACTAATTTAGCCTAGAAGTGTACAATGTCAGATTATAGTTCAGAGCAATAGATTAAGGTATTTACTCAGCAACTCTTATTGTAACTAATTAACTCATAGATAAATATAAAATTCATATACAATCCAAGGTAGAAGTCTGGCATCTGGCTTAGGAAAGCCAAGAGACTGGCCTAATATAAGTTCAGTTTTTTAAAAATGAGAGTGTAATATACTGTTACATAAAGTGAAAAACATAACAAAAAAAAAGTATTACATTCCAGATACTTCCAAATTTGCCAATAATATTTTAATTATTTTTGTTTAACATATTTATAGATAGGTTGTAAACGAAATTAATGCTAAATCGGTAGGGATGGTGTGGGACCGAAAGATAGTGAAAATGGTATAGAGGGGGAATTGTCACAGTTGATCTTTGCTGATGACAATTCTTCCAGGTGATTATAAAAAACATTACAAAAGTTGGTAAATGTAAAAGAAGGAAATTCAAAGTAAACACAGGAAAGAGCAAGGTGATGAAAGTATCAGAAAATAAAGTTAATGAGGAGCTGGATATTAGATCCTGGAGTATACCTGGAGAGGGTTTCAGGGGTCAACATCCCCACAGCCCAATCTGTGACCAGCCCTCATGGTGGATCTGGGCCTGATCAACCAGGCTACAATATCTCCACAAAGATTGCAGAAAGGTAAGTGCAGTGTTCTACTTTTGATTTAATGCTTTATAAGCACTCTCAGGCAAATAAACAATTAAGTCCATACACTAGCTGTAGGGTGGGTTATAAGGCAGACATCCCTAACACACACAGGTCAGAGTCTCAGTCTATTATCTGTCCTGTGAAGCCATAAATATATTAAAATACTGTCCACACTCTATATATTATAATTCCTCAATTTAACACATTAGAAATACGAGACAAGAAAATCAGAAACAAAGTGCACTGGTTACAGAATTTTCTGTTGTTACAATCACAGCAAAACAATCTTCTATCCACCACAATCACCATTACCAGCCACTGGCTCCCACCTTATTAGTCCATTAAATCAAAGCATGACCGTAATAGTACAGTAGTATATTCATAATAATATTATAACTTAGTTAAAAAGTTAGGAGTCCCACCTGTGACTGTAGAAGAAGTGTGTACACCTAAGGAAACAGGTAGTCTGGGATGTATCTGCCCTACACTAAGAATTTCCAAAAGATACAAGTAAAGGCTTTCACTCACTCTGCCTCAAGAATATCGTAACTAAGCACTTGGTGTTTAATTGCCAGTCATTGATGTTATGTTGTACAAATACTTATGTACAAAATTACGTGCCACATACCTTACTAAAGAACTGAATGTGTTCAGCAACTGTCAGCTCATCAAACAAAACATCATGCTGTGGACATAATCCTAAAGAATGTCGCACTGCCCCCATCTCTTTTACTATGTCATATCCTCCAACATATGCTGTGCCAGATGTTGGTGGGTAGAGACCTGTTCAAAATATACACTCATTACAACATAATATATATTGTACAACTCTTATATTTTCTTATTTCTCAAAAACTGATTTCTTGCAAGTCTATTATTGACATAAACCCTTAAATTTACATATCCTAGAGACTAATATCTTTTATTTATCCACAATTCTCCTTTACTTTGTTCAAAATAACAGCAACATGCATTGATGTTTTTATATGGCACAATTTTATATTCTATAAATGTCTCAGGGTGATTTTATAATTACTCTTTTCACATATACATTTTAGGTAAAAACCCCAAAGCAACTTATTCATAAATATTTCATGACTCAGGTTCGCCTTACCTGCATTGTGCAAGCAAAAAAGAACTTACCCCTCCCAAAAAAAGTTATTATTTTTGTGAGGGAAAAGTTCAACAGATAAGAGTAGCGAGCGAGTACAGTGGACCCCCGCTTAACGATCACCTTCTAATGTGACCAATTATGTAAGTGTATTTATATAAGTGTGTTTGTACGTGTATGTTTGGGGGTCTGAAATGGACTAATCTACTTCACAATATTCCTTATGGGAACAAATTCGGTCAGTACTGGCACCTGAACATACTTCTGGAATGAAAAAATATCGTTAATCGGGGGTCCACTGTATATGGTAACGATAGTTTGATTGCCGGCTGCTTGTTAAGATAGGGTCAGTCTAGCTCCCGCTATCCTCCCCCCTTTCTCCCCATCCCGAAAGGTGACGTGTGGGGCTCTGGCCAAACAGTAATCACTCGACTGACAGCTCCCAGCACAACTGTAAGTAAAAGCCTCTGCTCCTATTTTAGTGGATATTGGCTGAAAGCTTCACTTTTGACCAATAATAAACTTAGTCCTTTCAGTTTTAAGCTCAACATGAGACTTTTAGATAATTACCACCTTTTATAAGTATCTTGCACTTATGGAGAGTGATTTCTTAAGCAGTGGGTAACCTGTCTCTCTTTCCAGCTTGGAATGACAGCTCGGGTCACCTGCCAACCAACGAGAAGTGTTGAAGGAGACAGACTGAAACCGGTCTTGGGACGTCACTTTATGATCTACCTACCTGATTAATTGTACAGGATACTACCCCTCACCTTTGCAGTGATAAAGAATCTGTGTTCCTGTCATCTGGACTGACTATTCAAGGCTATAGACTCTGTGAAGAACTAGTCGTTGGGTTGTCACTCAACACCTGTGACCCCCCCATCCCCACATCATCAGCAACGGCTACAATTTCTACAAGACGGTGTCAACCTCCACCAGACACCCCAGTATAACTGTACATATTAGCGTTGAATTCAAATGTCATTTTTCCATTTCATTTTTCATTTTTCTTTCAAGTAGGATACACCTTCACATTTCAATGTTTTATCTTTGCATTACTAAATAATAAAGTGTTTATCTTTGTGAATTATTATTTCTTTTTCTATTCATTAATTTTCCTGAGGAGGAGCCAGCCTTGGTAATACTGTCTGAAGTTGTTACAGGGCTGAGTAAGCCTTCACAATTTTTCTAGGATGAATAAATAAGCAATTAATTTTACTCTTCTATTTATAATTCAAAGACAGCAGCTATTGCATCATATATAACATATAGTAAAAGTCACAACCCCGTCTCCTGTATAAATTACTAAATTTAAAAGGCGAAACTTTCGTTTTTCCTTTTGGGCCACCCCGCCTCAGTGGGATACGGCTGGTACGTTGAAAGAAGTAAAAGTCACAAAACTATGCAAAATATCCACAGCCTCGGGGCTGAGAATAGTGCTCATTGGGGTGGCAGGAGGCAGCAGCTTCTGAGTTAAAGTTCACTTTCACCACCTGTGAGAATCCAGCACAACAGAGCCCGGCACACCAGAGCCTGGCACACCAAAGCCCAGCACACCAGAGCCCAGCACACCAGAGCCAGGCATACCAGAGCCTGACACACAAGAGCCTGGCACACCAGAGCCTGGCACACCAGAGCCTGGCACACCAGAGCCCAACATACCAGAGCCTGGCACACCAGAGCCTGGCACACCAGAGCCTGGACCACCAGAGCTTGGCACACCAGAGCTTGGCACACCAGAGCCAGGCATACCAAAGCCTGGCATACCAAAGCCTGGCACACCAGAGCCTGGCACACCAGAGCCCGGCACACCAGAGCCCGGCACACCAGAGCCTGGCACACCAGAGCCTGGCACACAAGAACCTGGCACACCAGAGCCTGGCACACCAGAGCCAGGCACACCAGAGCCCAGCACACCAGAGCCTGGCACACCAGAGCCTGGCACACCAGAGCCTGACACACCAGAGCCCAGCACCCCAGAGCCCGGCACCCCACCAGAACCCAGCACACACCAGAACCAGCACACCAGAGCCCAGCACACCAGAGCCTGGCACCCGACCAGAGTCAGGCACACCAGAGCTCGGCACACCAGAGCCTGGCACACCAGAGCCCAACACACCAGAGCCTGGCACAACAGAGCCTGGACCACCAGAGCTTGGCACACCAGAGCTTGGCACACCAGAGCCAGGCATACCAAAGCCTGGCATACCAAAGCCTGGCACACCAAAGCCTGGCACACCAGAGCCCGGCACACCAGAGCCCGGCACAACAGAGCCCGACACACCAGAGCCTGGCACACCAGAGCCCGGCACACCAGAGCCTGGCACACCAGAGCCTGGCACACAAGAACCTGGCACACCAGAGCCTGGCACACCAGAGCCTGGCACACCAGAGCCCAGCACACCAGAGCCTGGTACACCAGAGCCTGGCACACCAGAGCCTGACACACCAGAGCCCAGCACCCCAGAGCCCGGCACCCCACCAGAACCCAGCACACACCAGAACAAGCACACCAGAGCCCAGCACACCAGAGCCTGGCACCCGACCAGAGTCAGGCACACCAAAGCTCGGCACCTTACTAGAGCCTGGCACACCACAGCCCAGCACCCCACCAGAACCTGGCACACCAGAACCAGCACATCAGAGCATGGCACGCCATCAGACCCCAGCAAACCAGAGCCCAGCACCCCACCAGAACCCAACACACCAGAGTCCAGCACACCGGAGCCTGGCACACCAGAGCCCAGCACATCAGAGCCAGGCACACCACTTGAGAAAAGCACACCAGAGCCCAACACCCCACCAGAGCCCAGCACACCAGAGCCCAGCACCCCACCAGAGCCTGCCACACCAGAACCTGGCACACCAAAGCCCAGCACACCAGAGCCCGGCACATCAGAGCCTGGCACACCAGAACTGGCACACCAGAACCCAGCACACCAGAGCCCAGCACGCCAGAGACTGGCACACCAGAGCCCAGTACACCAGAGCCCAGCACACCAGAGCCCAGCACCCCACCAAAACCCGGCACACCAGAGCCCAGTACACCAGAGCCTGGCATATCACAGCCTGACACACCAGAGCCCAGTACACCAGAGCCTGGTGCACTAGGGCCCGGCACACCAGGGTCCGGCACACCAGAGCCCGGCACACCAGAGCCCAGCACACCAGAGCTCAGCACACCAAAGCCTGGCAAACCAGAGCCCAGCACACCAGAGCCCAGCACACCAGAGCTTGGCACACCAGAGCCAGGCACACCAGAGCCAGGCACACCAGAGCCCAGCACACCAGAGCCTGGCATACCAGAGCCTGGCACACCAGAGCCTGGCACAAAAGAGCCAAGCACACCAGAGCCAGGCATACCAGAGCCTGGCACACCAGAGCCTGGCACACCAAAGCCTGGCACACCAGAGCCTGGCACACCAGAGCCTGGCACACCAGAGCCCAGCACACCAAAGACCAACACCCCCACCAGAACCCGGCACACACCAGAACCAGCACATCAGGAGCCCAGCACACCAGAGCCTGACACACCAGAGCCCAGCACCCCACCAGAACCCGGCACACCATAGCCCAGCACACCAGAGCCCGGCACACCATAGCCCAGCACACCAGAGCCCGGCACCCCACCAGAGCCAGGCACACCAGAGCTCGGCACCTTACTAGAGCCCGGCACACCACAGCCCAGCACCCCACCAGAACCTGGCACACCAGAACCAGCACATCAGAGCACGGCACGCCATCAGAACCCAGCAAACCAGAGCCCAGCACCCCAACAAAACCCAACACACCAGAGCCCAGCACATCAGAGCCCAGCACCCCACCAGAGCCCAGCACACCAGAGCCCAGCACCCCACCAGAGCCTGCCACACCAGAACCTGGCACACCAAAGCCCAGCACACCAGAGCCCGGCACACCAGAACTGGAACACCAGAGCCCGGCACATCAGAGCCCGGCATGCCAGAGACTGGCACACCAGAGCCTGGTGCACCAGAGTGCAGCACACCACAGCCTGGCACCCCAACAGAGCCTGGTACATCAGAGCTCGGCACCTCACTAGAGCCCAGTACACCAGAGCCCAGCACACCAGAGCCCAGCACCCCACCAAAACCCGGCACACCAGAGCCCAGTACATCAGAGCTCGGCACCTCACTAGAGCCCAGTACATCAGAGCCCAGCACACCAGAGCCCAGCACCCCACCAAAACCCGGCACACCAGAGCCCAGTACACCAGAGCCTGGCATACCACAGCCTGACACACCAGAGCCCAGCACACCAGAGCCTGGCACACCAGGGCCCGGCACACCAGGGCCCGGCACACCAGGGCCCGGCACACCAGGGTCCGGCACACCAGAGCCCAGCACACCAGAACCCAGCACACCAGAGCCCAGAATGCCACTAAAGCCTGGCCCACCAGAGCCCAACCTACCAGAGCCCGGTCCACCAGAGCCCAGCACACCAGAGCCTGGCACACCAGAACCTGACACATATTCACAACTGAAGCAAGAGTTTCCATCAAGTGTCACAAATACCAACAAACATTCACAACTGAACAACTTGCTCTACATAAGCAAGCACACATATATGCACACATACACATACATACACACACACACACACACACACACACACACACACACACACACACACACACACACAGAAGACCACAGAC